GGCTATTATGTGGGGGTACCCGTAGGTCCTCAAGGGCCATCCTATGGTGGTACCAATAGGTCCTCATGGACTATCCGATGGGGGTACCCATAGGTTCTCAAGGGCTATTATGTTGGGGTACCCGTAGGTCCTCAAGGGCTATCCGATGGGGGTACCCATGGGTTCGCAAGGGCTATTATGTGGGGGTACCCGTAGATCCCCATGGGCTATCCTATGGGGGTACCCATAGGTTCGCAAGGGCTATTATGTGGGGGTACCCGTAGGTCCTCAAGGGCTATCCTGTGGGGATACCCATCGGTCCTTCAGGGTTATCCTATGGGGGTACCTATCGGTCCTTCAGGGTTATCCTATGGGGGTACCCATAGGTCTCCAAGGCCTATTATATGGAGGTACCCATTAGTCCCCAAGGGCTATCGTATGGGTTACTCATAGGTCCTCAAGGGCTATCCTAGCGGGATACTGATTAGCCAGCAAGGGCTATTATATTGCGATACCCATAGGCCCTGAAGGGAGTAAGGCAATAGGGAGATAAGGCTGCAACGAATATAAGGCTATAAGGTCGAAGGCTACATTGCCTATAAACATATGTGCGATATGAGAATATGAGGCCGTAGGGCTATCTATCTATATACATAATATCGAGTGTCTGTATGTATTTTGCCGGATGAAAAGTCAAATGTGTGAGATCATGCGTTAAAGGGCATAAGAGCCGTGCAGTATGCACGGGTTCTCGCTAGTTTCATTATATTTAGGAGTATTATCGAAGCACCTTTTATCACATATTCTGATATTCAAATTGGTAGTTCAGTTAAAGTAATTCATCAGTTTTTTTTTCTTTTGTTAATGTTATATTTAATAAATAGGGTTCAATAACTCATGTTGATGAAAATGGTTTGATTATAAATTTAACCAAATATATTAATGGTTTTGTACCAATTATTCATAATGCTGATATACCAATAAAAGAAACATTAAATAAATTTCCATTAAAGTAAAAAGTTCAATGTCGAGTAATGGATTTTCTTGATGAAAATTATTTAATAAATTAAACAAAAATTTCTTATAGGTTTTACAAATTGATCCATCATGTCAACGATTAATATTAACAATGAAAAAATCTTTAATAAATACAAAATTACCAATTGTTTCTTCATATAATGATTTACAAGTAAATCTTGTAACAATTGGTGTTATTACATCAATTCAAGAATATGGTTTACTTGTTAAATTATTTGGAGATTTATGTAGTTTAGTACCAAAAAAAGGAAATCGGACAATTACAAACATTACCAACGACAAATATTAAAAGTCAATTACAACAGATGTTCTATATTGGACAAACTGTATCATGTAAAGTGCTGAATTTTGATAAAGAACAAAAGAAAATTACATTAAGTTTGAAAGTAAATATACACATCTTCAAATAAAGTCTTGATAAAGGTCCCAATTGAATAAGCGAATTAACGGTTGATGAAGCCTTGGAAAAACTTGTCCAACTCATCTTGCATATACAGCGATGTCTAACTCGGATAAGTCATTTGTCCTTTGAAAGTTCTATCAGATGACGAGGAAGAGCTTGCTAGAACGAGAAAATATGTATCACATACTCTTTTTTTCTACTTCGTTGTTCTTTATTAGCATGAGGTAACAATACGTAACTATTGTCACCGCTAGAATTAAGTAGCGATACGCATAAGACCAATATCTCGACAAGAGCAATAGCTAATGATCTGGACTTTCACCAGTCGAAAGAGATAGAATCGAGCGGTGTTTTTATATAATATTATTCAAGATGAAATCATTGCCAAACTAATCATTTTTGGAAATGTTTTCGACAAATGCATAATAATGCAATGTAGTTCCAATGAAATTTTCAATCTGAGATGTATATTGGATATAAGAAATTCAGATCTATAGTGCAAGACACAATTCAAATGGTCATCTTCTCATATTCTAAAGTTGAGCAAATGAATTCGGCCGTTTGCTTGCCAAAATAATAGGGAATTATGTTGATTGTTGACCAAATTTTCTTACTTTTTATCAAATTTTCATCGGAACAATAAGCCATTTTGATGAGATGTAAAACAATTTTAAGTCAACAATCAACGCAATTCTCTATTATTTTACTAGCTATTGCCCTTGTCGAAATATTTGTCTTACATGGACCTCTACTTAATTCTGGCTCTGACAACAGTATGCTGTCTGTTAAATGGTGGTAGAACGGTCTTAGATTCTGTGTGTGAGAAAAAACCTATCGCTGCAATAATAGAAATTTTCAGGGGACAGAAAAAGTGATCACGAGAACTTGACCTATTTCGGACACAGATGTACAATAAATCTCACAAGTAAATTCCGACTTCATTGTATGTTATGAGAATACATCCAATGTTTTGAATTTCATAAAAATATATTTATGTGTCTGTTGATAAGATAGTCGAATTTACATTATTCATAATAATTTACTTTTCAGGTTCCTGGAAAAGTGACATTTGGTAGTAAATTAGTACCAGTACCGGCTGATTTTTCCATTGGAAAAGTAAGTCATTTCATTGTTTTTGATTGTATAAAAGTAAATTTTTGCTTAGGTTATTCAATGAAGAGTAATTGAATGTGAAAATGACGAATATTTAATTGGCAATGTTATTACAGAACGTCGACGAAAACCCATAACAGTAACATTAACACGATATCATACATCAGATTTTGTTGAACATCAATCTGCATTAATGCGTTTGGATTTATCATCAAATAAAGATAAACAACGTGATGAAATCTATTGGTCTCATTTATCTTATATAAATATTTCTATGAAAAAAATTTTAAGTGAATTTTGTTGACGATCAACTCTTCCATAAAAATCCAAAGATTGCATCGTAAATTTTCTTTTTTTTCTTTTTTATTCTTTTTTTTCATTGAATCTATTCTCAGGTTTGATCAATTGTCCCAGGTGTTGATCAAAATATTTTTGAATATGGTCTTTTTATTGATTTACCAAATACAATTATCGCATTTGCTCCACATAAACATCTCGATTTACATGGAATATTAGAAAGTATAGATAAAAAATATCGAAATGGTAAAACAGTATTCGTACGAATCTTACAATTAGATGAAGAAAAAAATCGTTGTATTGTCTCACTTAAATCATTAATATATGATGGTGAAATAGCACAATTAAATCAATCTGATTATGTATTAAGATATTATCTTAATGAAAAATAGCAATTAATTGAAGATATGAAACACAATGGAACGGGTAAAAAATTAACATTATTGAATAAAAAAAAAAACAACTGATTGAATTGATTTAGGTCCATTATCAAAATTTTTTCAAGAAATAAATCAATGGATTGGTTTTAAATGTCGATGTTTAATTGAAAAACGTCTTGATGATTGGTTTATAGGTCGATTAGAAAATGGTCTTCCAGCTAGTTTACCATATGATCCACATTATTCTACCGGAGATTCAATTGAAGGTTATATTATTGATTTTAATTTACCATCAGAACAATTTGTCATTACAATTGATCTTAAAAAACCGATTAAATATTCAATAGATTCTTCGCAAACATTTCCACAATGTACAATTCTTTGTCAATTACCATCATATGCTTTAGCGATAACTGAACATTCAAATCATCTTATTCATTTACCAAAATTTTCTGATTTAAGTTCAATCTTTCGAATCCATTGACAGAAAAAAAACGCAAATCATCCAGGTCATAGGAAGTGAACCAAAATTGACGCTAGCCAAACTGTAGTCCGGCGTCCGCGTTATACCAATATGTGTATATATATCATAAGATATTACCGACAGCTGTCGCTATAAGTGAGTTATAGGTTAGTTGCGTTAGAATTCAAAATGAACTTCTACACTTTTTAGTTCATTACATTTCAATAGCATACAAGATTTTTCTGAGTTCTATGACAAATTTAAAATGCAACGTTCTAAATTCAAGCTAATTAAGCTTTGTATATAATTTATTTGTAAGTGCTGAGTGACAATATTATTATCAGCATTGAGAATAAATTAAGTCTATGTGAAGATATATCAAGATTTGGTAATTTGCGCATCATTTTTTTACAGTCGGCGTTTTATTGTAAAAACTATGAAATCCATTTAGATTACAAGTACAAGTGAAAAAGAAATCATATAAAAAACAAAATTGACGAAAAAAAGTTACAAATAAAAAATGAATTGTCATTTATGAAATTTCATCTATTTTTTTGTTATCTGATGTAGATGATTGCACCGGTTTAATCTAAAAAATAGGTAAAAGTGTAAAGTAATAATTAAATTATTAGAAATCTAGTAAGTAACTTATGTATATTGAAAAGAATCCATCACTATCGAAAGAAAATATTTCAGAACACCTTGTACATTAGAATAAGATAACATTCGCATTTTCAATTGAGAATTTTGAATCCGATTCTAAAAATATATAGAATATTAACATAATTTTATGTAAAAATGTATGTAATAGATACAATCCACTATCAATGTATCTATAAAATGAAGAATAAGTTCAATACGATATTCTTCATAGATTTATAATCACGTTTCTATTAAAAACAAATTCGAGGGTGAAAGAATAACAATAGTCTCTGAATGGAGCACGCTATCTTATTGCAAGTCTTCTTTGATATTCTGAATAGTATGTTTCTGCACAAATAATATGTGATCATTCTTTTATATATCAAATCATTGTCATTGCTTTCTCTATGCTACGGTTACATTTATTTCCTAAATAATCAGTGTGTTCTGAAAAGTACTCTAATTGATCTACATTTACACGCTATAAATAACATTTATGTGTTGAAATTTACATAATTGTAGAGCCGTTGTATGATTGTTCTTCAATTTCTCTTCGTTTCATTTCAATCGTAGAAAAGAACATTATTGAAATTTCCTTAATACAACATGTCTTGTTCCACGAATGTTCGTAACAAAAGTATTTCTGCTCATTTCTATAGTTTTATTTGAGACAGAGTGCTCACGTTGTCTTTGATGTTTTTCAGAAAATTATGAGAGCCATATACATGCAGTATTTTTAATTGGCCATCAAAGAAAATTAAAGAAATTTATGCTTTTCTTTTCTTGATGAATTTCAAGCGTCGGATCAAGTGAAAACTATGCATTCACGTGTTTTATTTTTTTTCTGATAGCAAGAAATTAGGCATTCGTCAACAGTAACGTATATGTAAGAATCATGAAAGTGGATACAATTAACGTTGATTCTACTCAAAACCAAGAGAATAAGTATTATTTACTCTGAACATATAAAATTTAAAAAAACTTCAACATAAGAATAATTGAAATTCTATTTTATTGTAAACAGCAGATGAGAATCATAATATGCTGAAGCAATGCTTCAATTCATCTAAATTTGGTGAGAAATAGCCTCAGTGAAACATCAACAGGGTTCGTGTTTCATTTTATTAAAAATCAAAGCTTCACTGAACAACTATTTAGAGAAAATAATAATCAGTATAGTTTCCTATGTTTATGGGTCTCATCATTTTTCTAAAAAATGATCAAACATAACATGAGCATGTCTGTCTCAAATAAAACGATAGAAATGAGCAGAAATACTTTTATTACGAACATTCGTCGAACAAGACATGTTGTATAAAGAAAAATTTCAATAATGTTCTTTTCTACGATTGAAATGAAACGAAGAGAAATTGAAGAACAATCATACAACGGCTCTACAATTATATAAATTTCAACACATAAATGTTATTTATACCGTGTGTATGTATATCAATTAGAGTACTTTTTAGAATATGCCGATTATTTAGAAAGCATATACTACAGTAATAAATGAGACAGATGATAAAAGGCTTGATAAGCTGGACGAACCAGAAATTTTTTACATCAATACTAATAGATGTTGTTTCGAATATCAGACATGATCATTATGCAAATTTTACTTCTGTAGGTTTCTGTCTCGAATGGTCTTGTCTTTCTTTACTGAAGTTCATACTACTTTATTTGTTAAAATTTTTCTACTTAATATATTGCTTACATATACTATGTAAATCATTATTCGATAAGCATTGAAGGAATAGAGCAGCATCGGCTAGATATTGAATGATGGAGTTCATCTAGTCAATATTTAAGTATTTTTGCTCCATGTATATTATTGAGATCAAAACCATGAACAAGTGATTGATCATTCCATTTTCAGCAGGGATGATGTTAATGGAATATTATTATGAAAAAGTTTCTTGAAATACTTCAATGGCTTTTGAAATACTTGTGGTTAGATGTTTGACTAAGTTTGATATAGATTAAGAGAGACAAAAGTATAATAAACAAAATAGCCAACTAATGATTTATTTCACTACTAGCATTAGATTCATTAAGTTGGTCTAAAAATGATAAATTAATGATGGTGAATGATGAAATATTCTTTCTAAACATTCTATAGAGAAATAAATTCTAATTTTATAAGCCTTAGTTCGCTTACATAATATTTTCTTCATCAAAATCACAAAGTACAACGTCAGCATCCGTAAGGATGATGATGTAGTGAATTGTTTATCGGAAGTCAAAATATGTATATTACTATATTGGCTTGTGGTCAAACAAGTAGCAATTCTTTGACTTTCAATTAATGGAAGTGGTGATATAGGTGAAATCATTTGTTGAATGAACCCATGGAAATAAAACAATATCTTCTAAATTCAAACTATATTACACCGACTGCATTAGTTTTAAAATCAAGATTTTTTTTTGGTTTATTTTCATTCGATGCTATAATATTACGAAAAAAGTCAGTTGCTACTTGCTTTAAATTTTGATTGTTTTGAATATATACGCGCAAGAATAAATGAAACACTATATTCAACGGTCACTAATGCAGAATCGATATCTTCTGCAATTTCTTTCACACATTGTTCAAGTAGACATTCAAATGTCATTCATAATTTGGTGCTAAATCTTTTTTTTAAAGTTACTTGATCATTGAATAAATCTTTATTGATTCGATCAATATTAAAACGGTGCATCTACGCAGCTAAATTAATTGTTAAAGATTCACACAATTTGTCTCAAGCATCACAGTTGCAGCTCTATGTTAAATTCGTTGATGATAACAATGCAATTGACTATTATTCTTGGTACGTTTGATCTTACGAATATTTAATAGAGCTATTGCGAATTTCGTATAGATTAACCAAGTTTTATGAAAATAAATTAATACTGTACTTATGAAGAAGAGATTCAGAAGTTCGATCAAAAGATTAATGAAAACAAAAGCAAATTCAAGAAGTTGTATTTGCAGCTGTTATTGTCAATGACTCATTGAGAAATAAGAAAAGAAAAACAATAGACATATTGTGGTAAAAAGAGGACTCGAATTTGGTTGGTTCATTCGGTCTATATGAAGTGAGCAACATTTCTTTGGTTAACATGTTTGGTTCACTTCCTATGACCAATCATCCATTATTTCCTACGGAAATGAAACAAATTAATTTAATACAAAGATTTTATCCAATTGACGGAAACGCTAGAAATATTCTAGCGTTTGGCGCTAGTTACATAAAATAATCTAAATATGATAGAGGACAAAGTGAACGAATTTTATTTTTCTTATTGGCAATTACTAAAATTACTACACGATCATTTAATTCTATCTATTGTTTTAATAAAATTTAAAAAAATGTCTTTAACTGGTGATGATGCATCTATTGATCCTATTGAAGCTGAAATACTTTCGGTTCGAGCTGTAAGTAAAAAATGGGAATTTTTTCCTAACTATATTTTTGATAATTTAGATGTGGGAAAAACTGGACACTTTCTTACAAGAAATTCCATTTTTTAAACAACTTGGTTTGGAAAAAATAAAGAGAATTTCTGAACGAGGTGAGATGAAAGAATGTCTTGTTGGTGAAATACTTGTACGTCAAAATGAAATTGCTAATTTATTTTATATAATATTACAAGGTAAAAAAAATAACAAGTTTTTTCGATTGATAAAGATTTACGTTTTAGGTCAAGCTAATTGTTATACAGAATCTGATGGTTCACTTGTTCCAATGGCTGTGTTAAGATGTGGCGATTTCTTTGGGGGCAAAAGTTTATTTAATAATTTGCCCAGTGTAGCAACAGTTGAAGCTGAAGATGGTCTCATTTGTTTCACTATGACTGATCGAGCTTTTCAAGAAGAATTAACACCTGTTATTAAACAGCTTCAAGAAGCTGCTAATCAATATCAAATGTTTATCGAGCAACAGATTTAAACTCATGTTTTATTATAAGACATTTTGTTTTTTTTGTGCTTTCAGTTTTTTTTTGTGCTTTCAGTTTTTTTTGCTTTAAAACTCTTTCATCTATAAGGTTTATCAAAAAAAATTTCAAACAGAAAAAGAAAAAAGAATTCTCACTTTATTTCACTTTTTATTAACTTAACACAAATATGAGCAGTCTGTAGCTGAAAAATGGAGCATCAGACAGAGATGAACGATGGTCGTTCTAAATTATGAAAATATTTATTGGACTGAATAAAAAAAAATTAGTGTGAGATAGCACAATATTGATTGAGACAACACTCATAAGACACGAACTATCCATGTCTTCCTACACCCAGAGGCTTACTTTATATTTGTGAATTGTTTAGAAACTTCTGTGATGAAGACGTTGAGCAGATCATTTCAGCACATGTCTAATAAGAGTTTTATTCGACGATCATTGAGGACAGAGGAGCATGTAAGTATGACAAACAATGTAAAGAAGTCATTTCTTGGTCGAATCAATAGAATGACATCGCTACAGAATTGACAGTAAGTCTTTCATCCCACAGAAACTATTGTATTGATCCTGAAAATTTCAATATATCATTTGCCGAACTAAGAATATGCAGTGTTGATGGCAAGACTGAAATACTGATACTGACGTTCAGTGATCACCGATGACTTCTATGTTACTGCTTACTGAAACTGTGATAATGCTGACATCGATCTTCACGGAAGTACTAATATTTCAGTGATATTGACAAACCGATTGTATTAACCTATCAAAATACAAGCGGTGAATATTTTGATGTAGTCGACGTGTTAGTGTTCCACGGAACACTGACGGCAGTAAACCAAAACTGCATATTCTTATGTCGAACAGTTCGACACTTGTACGCTGATGAAAGTATACTTATAATACAATAAACACTTGCTCTTGATAACAGTCCATTGGACTTCTATTCCGTGAATAACTTTCTTTTAGAGAAATTCTCTTCACAACTCAAGAATTAGTTAATTCTATTCGACAAATGCAAAAAGTTTCGAATAAAGATAAACTTTGGGATGTTATTAATCAATTTGATCATGATAAAGATGGATTAATCGAAGCTGATGAAATTTTCAAAGTAATTGAAAGAATTTTCTTCTTTTTATTTTCATTAAATAATATCTTTATAGGCATTGGAAATAATTGAAAATGAAAAAGTTAAAATATCGAAAAAACATCTCAAAGAAATATTTGATCTCGTTTGAAAGGAACAAATTGTAGAAGAAAAAGAAAACTAAATCAGAACCAACAACACTAACTATATTTATTTCTTATCCTTTCAATCTAGTAAATTGATTTTTTTTTATTTTAGTTATGAATAAAATACATTCTACCTCTTTCTTTCTCTCGATTTTATTCATTTGATTTTCTAGATAACTTTTGATCAAATTATTAAACAATCTATTAATAATATTCAATTAAATGTTTTTTATGAATATTTTTCAGATGATCAAGAACAAATTGATTCATATTTATTAAAATATTTCGAATCAGCTCGAAATCTTTTAATTAACGACGAGCAAACTGAAAAAACTAAACCATATTTAAAAATTATTCTGGAATATTCATGGGAAAAATTCAATAGAGGAATATAGCAGAATGTTAAATATACTTATGCTTGTTATATTGATGCACTTGTTAATTGTAGAATAATCAACATGAGAATTATCAAGTAAATGTATTTAAGAGAAGAGTCATGAGTCCATGAGATAAACGAGGCATTCGAAATTTTATCAATCTCATAATATTACCTTATAATCCTTCAACGGACAAAATTTCTTTGAACTCATGCTTGTACTCCATTATGGGAATGGTAACGAATTATTTTAGAAATCCCCGAAAGTTGCCGCAAAATCAACTTCGGAACATCACTAGAGACAGAGATGTCAGGGTTTCCCGCTTCTTGGAATGAAATGCAAAAGTGACACCTCTAACTTGATTTCAACATGAAAAACCGAGACATTCTCGGATTTGTAAAAGGGTATTATTTGTCGACCTACTTTTTTAGAATAAAGTTGGTGTTCTAAAAATTCTTCATCTACACGACCTGAATGACTCTATTATGATTAGAAGTTTTATATAAATGTATGCACTGAAGGCTCTTCTATGTTGCAGGAAAAACCGCATGACAATACCTTTTTGTGTTCGGAAGTTATTCAAAAATCTAGAAAGTTTAAGTACACTCTTAAAGTTGTTCCGATTTGTGTTGGAAAGATCATTGAAATTTTCCATGGTATATATCTGAACGATGGAATCAAAAGCTGTTTGATATAATGAATGAACCATAATAAATGATCGCACTTTGCATTTCATATTTTTATTTCAAGATATGTTTTATTAAAAAAGAGAAGCAGCGCGAAAAGCTCTCCAACATCCTAACTAAAACTTATTTTGCTTTCGAAAACAGCAAAATTCGTTGTGACCAATTTTTGACGTTGCGAAAAGAATATTTTGACGCGAACAAAATATTCTCGTTTCTTAAGTAAATACACTTTGTGAATTGTAGAACTTTGCATGCTGCATTTTGTGTTATTTAATAAAACATGCAACGTCATCTATTATGAGTTATTACTTGAGGTAGAGAATTTATCGCTAAAACAGTCGAGCTTACGTCCATAGGAAAATATTCCCTTAAACTTATCCAGAAAGAGAAATTTTGCTCCTACATACGTGTACGCACACAGGTAAATTGTGCACCTCTGATCATAACCAATAAATAGGAAAGGAATATGGACACGATTTCAGCTCGAACATACCATTTTGTAAAGAATAAAAATTTTATTGATTGCCTCGTGTATTCGGCGTATTCCTGACTTCGCTGTTATAATCGAACTCTCTTTAATACTGGATTTCTTTTTAGTAGAACATTATTTAAAAATGTGATTTGGGTATTTTACTTGGCGGGCCAATTCTCTCGAAATGATTTAATGAACTTATTTCAATAATCAGTGAGAATCTAAAGAATAGCAAAGATCAAGAATCTCTACAGAATTAAGATGTTCATTCATCGAAACGAATTCGTCTTAACAATGATTTTAACTGAATGTCAATTCCAATAATTGATCCAACGAAAGCAATTGAACGCACTCATTGTCCATCTATGAAACAATTTCTTATATGTTATATGGAAACAAAAAAAACCTGTTATTCTCATTGGTTGCATTGATCATTGGCCAGCGATGAAAAAATCAAGGTAAAATAATCTTTTCTGCATTTTTAAAATAGTTTCGATTATCTGATTAAATTAGCTCGTCATCGAACAATACCAATTCAATTAGGTAGTCGTTATTCAGATAATAATTGGACACAAAGATTAATGACCATAGCAAATTTTGTCAAATATTATTGTATAGAAAAGTGCGTACTTTCAATGATTGACACGAATTTGTTATTCTTATTTTTAGCCTTGAAAATGCGGGTATTTAGCATAACGTCCTCTACTAGATCAAATAAAAACAATATTTGAATATTATATCTTCTTTTATAGATTTCTGATTTAAAAAAAGATATTTGCATACCAGATTATTGTTATATCAGGTGAGCTGACAATGAAGAAGAAGTTGATCTTAATGCGTATGACTGATTGTAATAAAAAAAAATTTTTTTCTTTATCTTTTGATGTTTTCAGATGGATTGGTCCAAAACAAACTATATCTCCATTACATAATGATCCACTTCTTGCTCAAGTAAATAAATAATAATTTTTGATCATAAGCAATGAAATTCTTTGTAGATAGCCGGAGAGAAATATATTCTATTCTATTCATCAAGATTATACATTCTTGGTTCAACCATGTTGAACACTACCAGTTCGATAATAACAAATATTCTAAACTTAGATCGATGTTGAAAAATATCGATTTCCTCTTTTCAAAGATGTTCCTTATCTTTTCATGTACTCTTCAAGCAGATAATATGCTTTATATCCCTTCTCGTCATTGGCATTATGTTCGTTCTCTTCCACCTAGTTTTTCTGTTCATTTTTGGTGAACATTAAAATGAAATATCCGTTTTCTTTTAGATGAATTTTACAGAATTATTTCAATTAACATCACGACAATGTTCATTTTCACCGGGTGAACAATATTTAACATGTGTTAATCAATATCGTTTAATAATTCGTTTAGCAACAACATTAGAAATAATTCATTTATTTGCTTGTATTGATACAATCAATACAATTGAATGGTCATATGATTCATATTTGATTTTAGCAGGATTGATCAAACGTAATGCGGTACAAGTATTTTCATCGGATAATCCTGAATGAAAATGTAAAATTGATGAAGATTCAGATGGTCTTTGTCAAGTACATTGGACACGAGATTCTCGGCATATATTAACCATAGCACAACTACATTTACGCATAACTGTTTGTTCCTTAACATTAAAAAATGACTCGTATATTAAATATTCAAAAAAAACTTTCTCCTAATTCGTATATATTTAATTGATCAAAACCTTATATGGCATTAGTTGAACGTCGAAATGACAGTACAGATCACGTATCGATATTTGATTATATATCAAATTGATCAATGCTTGAACATTTTCAAGTTAATCAATTAGAAGATCTTCAAGGTATTGAATGGTCACCTATTGATGATGTTTTATGTTAATGGAAAAATTCTTATGAATATAAAATGATTTTTTATGCACTTGATGGTCAGTTATTGAATATGTATAAACCAGAAAATGATCATTTATTATTTGGTATACGATGTGCGCGATGGTCACCAATTGGTAAAGCAGCCACGACCGGTTTCGGCCTTGCTTAAGGGTTTCATCAGGTGGCAAATACAATTCCACCTGATGAGTTCCTCAAGCAAGGTCGAAACCGGCCGCGGCTGCTTCATCAGATTGTAGCCAATACATCTTAATACCGGCTCTTTCTTATTTTATATAAGAATTGAGTATTCGGTTTTCTATCTTGGTCTTAGGACTGGGATGGAATTGAATTTGCCACCTGATGAGACCCTTAAGCAAGGTCGAAACCAGTCGTGGCTTCTTCATCAGACTGTTGAATGTGAATGTGTACCTAAACCAAAATTAACTTGGTATGTTAAAATAACAAGTATATTAAAACAAAAAACATTTTTTCTTTCTTTCTTCAATGGTATTTCAATGATAATGAAATAAAATTTAGTCAAAAACCTCGTATTGATACAATAGGTTCAATAAGTACATTAACTATTAATAAAGTTGATATGCCTGATATTGATGTTTATAAAGTTGTAGCTAATAATGAGAAAGAAAGAATTGAAACACAAGCAAATGTCGATGTTTGTGGTATGTTGTTTAACTTGGTTTTCTTTTTTTTTTATATCTAATATAAATAATAATTTTAGTTAAACCAAAAGTAGAAGGTAAACCTGCTGATGTATTATGTTTATTAAGTGAACCAGTAAAAATAAATGTGAAATTTTCTGCTATACCAAAACCGACGATTACATGGCATACGTATAAAGCCGATGGTACAGAAATCAAACTTGATGCTCGTATTCAAATTATTAATGATAATAATAGACAATCAATATTAATTATTAATGATATAATAGCACAAGATTCTTAACCATATACAGCACGTGCAACAAATAAAGTTGGATCACCTAATGCTAAAATTAATTTAACTGTCAAAGATAAAGAAATTTATATGAAAATTTCAATGATTTTATTTGTCTTTTTTATTTTTATAGAAGTAAAACCATCATTAAAAAATGATCTTGAACCACAAACAATAAATGTTGGTGATGAACTTGTTTATTGTCTGGCGGTTGATAGTCGACCAACATCGACTATGAAATTTTATAAAGATGGAAATGAAGTCGGTCCAGTTACTATCGAAAAGTCGCCGAAACCTGGTGATATAACTGTTAATGCTGTTCTTCGTATTCCAAATGTTATGATCAATGATCAAGGTGAATATCAAGCGTTGATTGAAAATCCTACGGGAGTTGTTAAAACTAAAAAAGCAAAAGTAACTGTTCAACAAGTTCCAATTTTTCTAAACGCTCCTGAAGATGTTTCGGTTAATCAAGGTAAAGATGTTACTTATGAAGTTCAACTTTCGGCATTTCCAACACCGAAAATAACTTAATTATTAAACGGAAAATCTTTAACATCGAATCCTGATTGTTCAATTACATTTAATGCATCTACTCAAAAACCTTTATTAACATTTCGAAAAGTTTACGCTGATAAACATGCAGGAATAATAATATGTCAAGCAGAAAATCCAGCAGGAAAATTAACATAAGATGTTAAACTTCATGTTCGTACACAACCAAAAATTAATAAACAATTAAAATATGAAAGTATTATACAAGAACAAGATGTTACGTTATCGATTGAAACAAGTGGAAATTCAGCATCAAAACCTGAATGATATTTTAATAATAAACCTATTCCAACAAATGATCAACGTTTTCAAGTTATTATACAAAAAGAAGGAAATTTATATGAACTTAAAATAAAACAAATAAAACCAACTGATGAAGGAACTTATAAAGTTATTATGAAAAATAGTGAAAGTGAAATAACAAGTGATGCTAAATTGAATGTTCATGTTTCATCTATTATTGGTTCTTTATCAGCAAAAATTGAAGCTATACAAAGTGAAAAAGTTATTATTCAATATAAAGTTTTTAGACATTCAACGCTTGAAATAACATTTTTAAAAAATAAAAAAGATGTAACAACATTAGATGATAAAGAATGTTTTCATATTGAACATGATGATAAAACAGGTGAAGTTCGTTTGATTATTTCTGATATTAAAGAAGATGATCATGGAAAATATACAATTCGTGTTAAAAATCCTGCTCAAATAGTTGAAGAACACACAAATTTAACTATTACAGCACCATTAGCATTTATTAATAAATTACAAGATACAGATGTTATTAATGGACAAAATTTAACCTTAACATGTTGTTGTCAATGAATACCAAAATCAACAATAAAATGGTATCAAAATGATAATGAAATTAAATCAACAACCAAATAAAAAATTGAATCAAAACTTTATGGTACACAAATCTTAACCATCAATCGTGTATATTTAACTGATGGTGGACAATTTAAAATTGTTGCAACAAATTCACAAGGTACAATAACATCAACATGTAATGTTAATGTTCTTATGAAATCAAAAATTGATAGTAAACCACAAGATATTCAAGTTGTTATTAGTGAACTAGCAGAATTAAATATTAAATTATCTAGTGTACCTAAACCAAATATTTAATGGTTAAAAAAAATGGTCAACCATTTGAAATTGATAATAAACGTAGAAAAACTATTGAAAAAGATGATGTTTGTTCATTAATTATTGATAGTACACAATTAGATGATAAAGCTTCATATACATTAAAAGCAATCAATAAAGATGATGAAATTGAATCACCAAAAATGACTTTGAATGTAATTGTTATTCAACTGAAAATCAAAACCGATTTACCAGCAACATTAACTGTACCAAAAGATGAACCAATTATTTTAACAATTCAAACTGATGGTAAATCAAAACCACAAGTAAAATGGTTTAAAGAAAATGATGAAATTTTAACCAATCAACCAGATGTTAAAGTTGTTGAAGAAGGTGATAATACATATAAATTAATTATTGACAAAGCAACAGAAAAAGATCAAGAAGAATATAGTGCTCTTATTTAAAATCCTGATGGACAAGTTAAATAAAAAAAAGACAAATGTTGCTGTTATGAGTAAGTAAAACTTTATTCTTTATCTCTTTAATTGACTTTTTCTCATTAAGAATCATCGAAATTTGTTACTAAAATAATCAATACAACCATTAAACAAGGTGAAACAGCTACAATTGAATGTCAAATTGATGCTCTTCCTTTACCTACGATCCCTTTATTACGTAATGGAAAATCATTAACACCTAAAGATGGTATTGAACAAACATATTTGATGCAGCTAATTGTCGTCTTGTTATAACTGCTAAAAGTGCTCGTATTGATCAAATTGATACATTAACATATAAATTAGAAAATCAATTTGGTTCAATTGAAACTTCATTTAAATTAAATGTTACAACTGCACCAACCAACTATTTTCAAAAGTTTAACTGATCAAGAATGTTTATTAAGTAAAGAATTACGTTTATCTATTGTTTCATTGGCAAGTCCATAACCAACATTTAAATAGTTTAAAGATAATGTTGAATTAAAAAATATTTCTACTAAAGTTAATGATGATACTTATGAATTAGTTATTTCTAATGTTACGTTAGAAGATAAAGGCAATTATAAAGTTATTGTTTTAAATCCTCTTGAAGATAAAGAATCTCAATGTAAAATAACTGTTATTGAATCAACAGATCTTAAATGTAATTTTCCTGAATAAGAAACTATACAGATTGGTCAACCAATTAAACTTGAATGTCATGTTAATGGACGTCCACAACCAGATGTAATATGAACAAAAGATGGAAAAGAAATCAAAACATCTGATCGAATTGAAATTACGAAAAAATCTCATGGTACTTGTTCAATGACAATTAAAGAAGCAACACCAGATGATAAAGTAAATCTATTTAATAAAGAAAAATTGTTATAACAAATCTTCTTTTCTTTTTTTTTAGAATGTTTATAAAGTAATATGTAAAAATAAATTACAAACACAAATACAAGTCTCATCACCATTGAAATTTAATACAATACTTAAAGATACTATAGTATAAGTTGAACAAAGTGTTACACTTGATTTTTGATTGTGAAGGATTACCAAAACCAACAATTAAATGGTAAATTTAACACAAATATATATATATATATATATATATATATATATATATATATATATAATCTATTTTAATTATTTTAGGCTTTTTAATGGACAAGAAATAACACCATCAGCTAAATATAAAATTAAATCAAAAGGAAATATTAATAAATTAACATTACCTAAAGTTGATCTTATTGATACAGATGTCTACGAAGTTATTGTTTCAAATGGTCTTGAAACTATCAAAGCACAATCAAAATTTGATGTTTGTATCAAATCTAAAGTCGAAGGTAAAGTCAATCCATATAAAAAAAACCTTGTTTCCATTGAAGATTTTCTCGTAGGTAAACCTATCGATATTAATGTTAATATTGGTGAACCAGCTAAATTACAATGTAAGATTTCTGCTTCACCAGCACCAACAATCACTTGGCTTAAAGTTGATCAACCTCTTCAACCATCGGACAATGTCACTCCACATACTGAACCAGATGGTACACAAACTCTTGTCTTTAAATCTGCTTAAATGATTGATAAAACAACATATACATGTCAAGCAACAAATATTGGTGGTACAACAGACGTAAAATCAAATTTAAATGTTCAACAAATAAAACCAAATCTTAAAACTGATTTGAATAAAGATATAATTGCTCAATCAGGTGAAACAATTCCATTAATAATTAAAGCATTAGGTACAAATTTAAAAGTAAAATGATATAAAAATGGTGAAGAATTTGTTCAAACTGTTGAAGAAGAATATGAAATTGTTGAAGAAGAAGAAACACATACATTATTATTATTAAAAAAATGCTAAACCAAAAGATAGTGAAGAATATCAAGCTGGTATTACAAATGATATTGAACAAGTAAAATCGAAAAAAATTAAAGTACAAATACAAAAAGCACCAGAATTAAAAAAAGAGACCACAACCATTACTGACGGTTAAAGAAAGTGAACAAGCACGTTTTGAATGGGAATTTGATAGAAATTCAACACCAAAAGTTACTTGGTGACGTGATGGAAAATCTTTAACACCTAAATATGGTTTTGATATTAAAACAGATACAACAACTGGTAAAAGTACATTAACGATTAATCAAGCAACACAAAAACATGCTGGTCCAATAACATTACGTTTAGAAAATTCTGTTGGTACACCAATTAAAGAAGTTGTTCAATTAGAAGTTGAAATAGCACCATAATTATTACAAAAACCATCACCGATATGTGAAGTAATGTAAATCAAATTGCTTCAATTACATTTAAATGTTTAGCAACATCAAAACCAACTATTAAATTATATAAAAATAAAATTCATATAGCATTAACTAGTGATCATTATGAACTTGTACCGAGTCCGACTGATTCAACAACTTATGAAATCAAAATCAAAAATGTTCGACCTGAGGATGAAGGAAATTATCGTATTCATATTGAAAATCCTTTAGCAAGTATAGAATCCAATGTTCAAGTAACAACAGTTGATAATGTATCAATTAAACCATCATCAAAACCAAATAAAACCGATTTGAAACAATATGATACATTAGTACTTGAATATATTGTTGATGGAAGACCAAAACTTGATATTACTTTTATCAAAGATGATAAAGAAATTAAATCATCTCCTAAAAGACAAATAGTTTATGACGAAAAAACAAAAGTTTGTCAATTAGTGACAACAGATGTTGAACAAGAAGATCTAGGTACTTATACATTAGTAGCAAAAAATAAATTAGGTAAAAAAGAAACAGAACCAGTTAAAGTTAATGTTACTGCACCAATTGTTGTTAAAATAAAATTACCAGAAACAATTGATGGTGTATTTGGTAAACAAACAACTTTAACTGTTGAAGCGGAAGGTAAATAAACAAAAAGATCAACTAATTTTCATTTCTTTTGTTGTTTTTCATTAAGGTATTCCTCAACCGAAAGTAACATGGTTGTTCAATGGTCAACCATTGAAAACATCACCAAAACATAAAATTGAAATACTAAAAGATAAACCAAATCAAACGGCTTTAACAGTTACTCAATTAGATACAACTGATGCAGGCAAATATACTGCTGCTATTGATAATGGTCTTGAAAAAGTTGAAACAAATACCACATTAAATGTTCATACTAAACCTAAATTTGAATCTAAATTTGAACCAATAATGACATTTAATATTGGTGAACAAGCAGATATATCAATTCATCTAAGTGTTGAAAATAATACTATTACTTAGTCTAAAGATTTTCAACCAATTCAATTTGATAAATGTATTTGTGTTGTCATTGAAGAATATAATCTCTATAAATTAGTGATTGATGATTTACGTTCAGAAAATAAAGGTAACAGTTTAGAAATTAAAACAATATTAAATATTAAAGAACAAAAACCACAATTATTCAATGTCTTCTTTGTTTAACATCTGTTATCAAAGATTCGATAGACAAAATAGTTTAAATAAAAAAGACTTGTTTGTTTTTAATTGATAAGAATTTCAATTTTTAAAATCTTTTAAAGACAATCAATGATTATATATTAGAAACATTAATTCGAGAAAATGAATCATCACTTCATTTATTTGCTGAATGGATTATTGTTCGTCTTTAATATCTGAAGATCGAACGATACATTTAAATTGATTTATGTGAACATTTACGTGACGCTTATCGACATAGAACAGGAACTGTATGTGCTTGGATTTCAATAGCATCACATATAATAAGTCTTTTATCCAATCAAATCGAACAGGTTAATTGAAATATTCTTATTTTTTTGTCTTTTGAAATAAAATCTGTGTTTTAATTAGATTAAATATATCAATAAAATATTTGAATATATTACTCCATTATCAATATATTCGAATTTTCATATTCGAACATTTTCATGTTCGACAATAATTAAATTACTTGAATTTATTGAATATCATCATCTAGAAAATGAAACATCATATGAATTATATCAATGTTTTAAACAAAACGATGAAAAATCTGAGCAAAGTTTTTGTTTTTGTATCAAAAAGTTTGTTATTTTTATTTTATTATTTATAGACTTGATCGATATATAACAAAACTTCAAAGTTTATTTCTTTATCAATTTGATCCAATACAAGATTTTTCATTTGAAACGATTTTTTATGCATATTACCACAATTATCATTAATAACTAAAGATGAATATTTATGGTCCGAATGATTTATTGAAATAAGTCAACAATTACATTTAACATTTTCAATATTAGTTCATAACATTTTAAAAATTTTACAATCATGTCAAGCTGGAATATGGAGATTAACTGATATGAAAATAAATGCTTGAATAGATTTGATTGAAGACAATGTTTCTTTTTTGACATTGTTTAGCTTCTGGAAAAAGTGAAACAGGATGAATTCAAGATGAAGAAGGATTTTCAACGATTCAACATAAAGCAAATCCATATCCGATTGTTGAAGCACTTAATGATACTAAATTAAGAGAAAATATTAAACGAATTCAATTGACTGTTGTTACTTCACTTATTGATAAACAAACAAATTTAGGTGGTAAGTGTTATCATTGATTGTTCGTAATTTATTAAAATATTTGAAAAAAAAGATATTTCAAAAGACTATGTTTACAAGCAAAAAAGAAAATAGTTTCTACGTTGAGAAGAACGAAGATTACTTCACAGCATATAATTGATAATAAATAAGAAGAAATTTCTATGGAAATCGATGAAGGTTAACGGTCACAATAATATAAGTAATAAATCATATATATATGTTGTGGTCAAAATTCAAATTCAGTCAAATTTAAAATTTGTCCAGTCAAAATTCAAATTTGAATTTTGTCCAGCCAGAATTCAAATTTAAATTATGACTAATACAATGTCAGGCAAAATTATAATTTAAATTTTGACTAGTCAAAATTCAAATTTTTTTTGAACAAGTGAAGATGAAAAAATATAAACAGGAGAAATAGCAAGTTTTTTATTTCCTAAGATTTAGTAACAAATATGATATTAATCTAACAATAATTTAGTTCATATTTGAGCATCCGCCTCGTTTAGAATGACATTTGGTTGAGCAAAATACATTTAAAATTAAAAAAAACAATAATTTTTTATATAAATTAATATGCCAATATGGTATTATGGATAATACATTTGAAGTTAGTCAATTTGTGGACTTAAAGGATGCATGCCCTAATAAATTGAAACATATTGATGTTGACAAGTTAAAACCAATAACTATTATTGAAGCATCAGAACTTTATGCTCATAGCTTCACTAATGGCAGTATTTGCAATTGTAGAAGTAAATGTGAAAAAAACATGTCCATGCAAAAAAGAAAATGTGTTTTGCTCAACCAAATGTCATTCTAAACGAGGCGGATGCTCAAATATGAACGAAATTATTGTTAGATTAATATCATATTTGTTACTAAATCTTAGGAAATAAAAAACTTGCTATTTCTCCTGTTTATATTTTTTCATCTTCACCTGTTCAAAAAAAATTTGAATTTTGATTAGTCAAAATTTAAATTATAATTTTACCTGACATTGTATTAGTCATAATTTAAATTTGAATTCTGGCTGGACAAAATTCAAATTTGAATTTTGACTGGACAAATTTTAAATTTGACTGAATTTGAATTTTGACCACAACATATATATAGAAGAGAAATTAATAGATGTGTGAAACTTGCTGAATTTATTAATCTTAAAAATGATAGCAAAAGTGAGGTAAATGGTATATCAATTTAAGTTTTTATTAAGCATTTTACTCGATAAATCGTGTCTAAACTTTGCACTCTGCTTTCTCTTTCATCATTTTGATATATTTTTTTTTGTAGTTGTCATCTTTTCAATAGAATATAAGACTAAGATATCATTGATAGATTTTTAAATTTTTTGGTGATTTTCAAATTAAATTCTATTCAAAGAAATGATTATTTCTGCGAGTTCATATGAATCTTAAAACCTCTGAATACTGTTAAGTGTAGATTAGATGAAAATGTGTCACTTGTTGACAACAGTCACTATGGATTAGAACGTTTATAAGAATTTAATTCGTATTAATTCAAAAAAAAAGTGATAAAGAAGCTGATGAAATGTTGTAGATAATCTTCTTTGTAACTTGATTGTTTTACGCAACAAGTAAATCATTAAAATATTTATGCTCGAACAACAGTTTTTTTTGTCTCGATTTATCTATAGATAACTTCAAAGTCTTACTAAAACTATTGTAAATATAGGTTTATGTCGAATCGATGAAGTTTTTGATGTAAAAGAACTAGTAATTGGAAGTATTCATATATTGAAAGACCAACAATTTCTTAATCTAAGTATGACTGCTCATAAATAGTTCCATATTAAACAAGTAAGAACATTTTATTTTAGTTATATTGATTTTATCAAGCGTGATTTAGGTACAAGAACGTGAATTAAAGGATTATTTAATTGATATACAAGTTCAGGGATATACAATTGTTACTGTTGAACAGACAATCAATAGTCAAAATTTATATGAATATCAATTTCCAGAGAAGACATTACTTCTATTAAGGTAAAGAAAAATCCATTGTGTATGTTAATCAACTTCTTTGTTTTTGTTTCTTAGAAATGAATGTGAAGAGGTATTCGAGCTGATCTTTTATCTTTAGTTGATGCAACAGTGGAAATTCTACAAGCCAGTGTTATTCGTTCTTTAAACGTCCATGTTAGTGATGCTCTGTGCATATTCGAATATACACGAAAGTATCTCAATTTTATAAAATAAAACAAAAAGATATTGCTTTTGTTTTTGTTTTTTTTAATATCGTTATCCATGATTAAAGAAGCAAATTGTAATCCTTCACGTTTGTTGTTTTTTAGATAAAAAATTTTCCGAAATTAAAAAAAAGAAAAGTCTTGTTTCTTGTCGAAATTATAACAAATATATATGCTCAATTTCTTGTCATCTTTCTTCTTCAATATTCAATGAACGAATTTGAACGTCGTTTAAAGTCGTTGTATAAAAAGAATGATCTTCTCACATTTTGCAAAGGATTCATTGAATGAAGTCATTCAAAATCTTTATTCATTTCGATTTTCATAACCTCCAAGCCTTTGTATTAATATGAAATAATGTATTTTTCATTATAGACAAAAGATAACTGTTATCAACAACCAATACGATAAGAACAATCTGGAAAATGAAAAACTATTTTTTATTATTTTTTAGATACGAGGCAATGCACATTTATGATGAATTCAAGTCGATGTTTATTACCACCGGTTGTCTTAGTTATGTATTCTTGATTAATGGACTTATTATTAATTTTTTACAAGTATATTCATCTATTATATGGCCATTTAATAAAGAACTTTATCGAGAAATCAATTCCTATTTAGCATTGAGAATATGGAATCGTAAGTATTAAAATTGTATTTTGATCAAAATTGCATAAATAGAATCTTATTGCAGAGAAATTACTATCTGTGTTTTTTGAAGTTCTCTAGTTAGAGTTCTTATGCATTGTGTATGATGAACAAGATGTTAATTATTAGCTATTTGAGATGATAAGAGCGAAGTGTGGAAAGGAAGGAAAAGTCCGAAAATGATGATGAGATGTAAAACTCTCGTAAATTGTGGGTAAGAAATTTCTGATGAACTTTTGGTTTTTTTCGTTTCATAGAATTTAGTTTGTTTTTTTTTTGCACAATAGTGGTCAAAAAGCAATTGTATATTGTACATCAATCGGAATGATCTTAAAAAAGTTCATAATGAACATGTCATTGTTATGTAAATCCGTTCATCTTTTATTATTTACATAAAAAGAAAATAATATATATTAGAATGAATCACAAATATGATATTGATTGGTTTGCTAGTTGGATTATTTGTCAACGTTTAAGTATAATGTAGGTAATTTTATATCAAATTGTAATGTTTTTATTTAAGATCATATTAATTAGAGATCAAAAATAGTTGATAAACAATCACTTAAATTAGTTCCGATAGTTGGTTGATCTTGGATACTTACTGAATCAATATTTTTACGACATGTATGAAAAAGTGATTGTGAAACACTAGTTAAAGATTTTACGAAAAATACTTGCTAATTATCCAAAACATTATTTTTCTTTTTTAATGTAAAAATATTTGATTTTTCTTTATTGAAAATGTAATTGTTTATTTTTATTCGTATTTAGTTTTTATTTTTCTGTGAAGGTACATGATTTACTGAAAAGAAAAGATTAAAAAGTATGAAAATTACACAAGAAAATGGATTACCAGAACTTAAACTTCATATTCCATCTCGTACAAAAGATTTTACTTTATTATTACAAGGAGCGAAAAATCGAAGTAAGTTTTTCATATAAAACTAATCGTTGTCAAATATCGAAATAATTATTTTTTAATATATATCAATTATAAAACTTTGGTCTATTTTACTAATGGTATTTCTAATCATCTTCAGCAGATATAAAAGTACGGAACTAACTGTCAGACCTGAATTTTAGTAATTATTAATGAAATATAGCATATTAATGTTCAGATTCACTATAGAACACATATTCTTTGGTGGTGCTTTTATACGCTTATTCGTATTTCAACATACATCAGTGCACGTACGTCAAGAGAGAGAACATATCGCACTTTGATCATGTTGCACATTTAAATACATCCCAATAACATTGTCACATAATAAACTAATCAATCTTTGAAATATGATGTAATAATAATAATCATATCTCTAAGTTCTGGTGTAGGGCTATGATAATTTATCAAAGAAAATTTTAATTTTCTTGGAAATTATGCTCTATTCTTTATTTAGTTGCAGCTGTATATGATCTAACAGTTGGTTTCAAAAAAACTAGAGCAGCACCAACACTTCTTAGTATACTAAAAGAACGTTCATGTCAAGCCGAAATGTTTGTCAAGTAAATTTTTAATCTTCAATTATTATTTAAAATTATTCATATTATTTCTATTAGATGTATTTCAGTTTTAGAAATTCCACAAGATTCTGAAAGATGTAATAACTGGGTTCATAAATTCTATCAAGAAAAAGATCAAATATACGTTTATTTTGTTAATCATGGTACATTTGAATGAAGAGGATTATCTCAAATTGAAATTCTACATAATTATTATGATTTATTAAATCGGTACAACAATTTTAGTTTTCAGAAGCGATTTCACTGAAATCGCTTCTGAAAACTAAAATTGTTGTACCGATTTAATAACGCATTACGAAGAAGTCAGCCGGGTGTTATTCGAAAGTGTAAAGTCTGCTTTTGTTACAGGCTCCGCCTTTCACACTGATTTCATATGTAGGTGTTAGCGGTAATTCACCATCATCTTTTCCTCAATGTCTTTTTATCTTTTTTTTCTTTCTTTCTTTCTTTCTCTTGCATCGTTACGGTTATTGTTATTGTTATAAATCTTTCTCTCTCTCTTTTTCTTTTCTCTCTCTTCTCCATTGTCTGTTGTAATATATATGTACGTGAATTTAAGGACATTTAAAAAAAAGAAGATAAATAAATAAATATAAGCCCGTCGTTCACGAGCTAACAGTAGGTCATTCTTTTTTTTTTTCATATTTTCTCTCTCTCTTCTTCTTTTCTATACATGATATCATATAAACAAAGGAAAAAGACATATCGATATCATACCAACAAAGAATACACTAGATGATATCAAGTACAGAAAAGAAAAAGAAGAGAGAGAGAAAATATGGAAAAAAAAGAATGACCTACATATGAAATCAGTGTGAAAGGCGAAGCCTGTAACAGCTCTACAAAATACAGCAAATCCGAAGTTTTGAAGTTGCATTATAGAGTGCAATCATACTAAAATAACAGTGCAATATACTAGTAAAATTGACTAAACTGTTTTCTTTCCTATTAAAATCTTACTAAAACGAATTATTTTAGCAAAAGCAATATACCATTTTGTTCAGTTTTTTACGTTCTTTCTAATCATATACTTGAAAGTTAAAAATGAATAAAGATTTTTTTCCATACTCTTTAATTAGTATTAATTAAATATAATTATTATTAATCAATTAAAACTATTAATATTCAAAAAGCGCTTTTTACCAAAAAATAGCCTATTCAATTCTATATCGATCGATGTATGTTTCAGTTTTTTTTAAACAAAATCGCTACGTGAAAAAATGCAAAACACTAGAAGTGTCCTAAATTTATGTCCGCTGAGATAAAATTCATTTCATCATAACTCATCCAAAACAAACCTGATTTTGACAATTTTTTCGGATTACATAGTCCTAAAGATCTTTCTAACTATGAAAGAATCAGGTCTCTAGCTATAAATGCAGCTGAGTTATAGCAAAAAACAAATGTGTCCTAAATTTATGTCCACCACTTTATATGCATTCTATGATAATGCAACTCCTGAAAGGGTGTGGGTGTGTGGGTGTGGGTGTGGGTGTGGGCGTGTGGGTGTGGGTGTGGGTGTGGGTGTGGGCGTGGGTGTGGGCGTGTGGGTGTGGGCGTGTGGGTGCGGGCGTGTGGGTGTGGATGTGGGTGTGGGTGTGGGCGTGTGGGTGTGGGTGTGGGCGTGTGGGT